GCCGTCCTTCCACTCTCATGACAGCGCACAGACACAGAAGACCGGCCTCCTCTCAAAGGTCAGCCAGAAGCCCCCCCGCAGCCCCGAGTGTGGATGTGTGTGTGTGTGTGTGTGTGTCTTTGTGTCGGTGTGGATCAGGTGCGTTCTCTGCATGCCTTTGAGAACGTGACGGAGCTCCCTGTGTTGGAGGAGCGGCACGTGCAGGCCGTGGGGCCTCAGTTCGGGTTTGACCTCAAGCAGATCAAGTCACACTATGACCACAGGTGCACACACACGCACACACGCACACACGCACAGAGAGAGAGAGAGAGAGAGAGGACAGCCATCCATCCATGTGTGTGTGTGTGTGTGTGTGCGTGTGTCAGGCGGTCGTTGCGGCACAAGTACAAGCTGTTCCGTCAGGGCGCTTTGCTGCCGCTCAAGGCACAAGTCGGCGACTCGTGGCACCAGCAAATCCTCGCATTCGCAAGGTATCTGACGCACCTTCCCCACCCCCCCACACACACCTGTTTGTGGGGGTGTGTAGGTATGACGTCGACACGGGAGAGTTCGCCTTGGTCGTCATCAACTTCACCGACCAGCGTCTCGACAACGTGGCGGTCTCGCTCAAGATCCTCTGGCCGCAGTTTCAGAACCTCGAGGACTCCACGCCTTTCCTCTGCATCGACACGCTCGCCGTCCCCGAGACCCAGGGGCTCATCCTGGCTCTCCACGAGCTCATCCACGAGCCACACATCCTCTCCATCCAGCCCTTTGCGACCGTCTGCCGCACCTTCAGGGAGATCCCCCCGCAGGACCGGCTCGGCGAGGACATCCAGCGTCAGCTCTATCTCTCGTCGTTGCTGCGTCTGGAGACCCTGATCGCACAGATGAAGTCGGCTTCTGCGTCGGGGAAGGCCAAAGCGGCGCAGGCGAGCTCGAACCTGATCATCACGAAGCTGGTGGCGGGGCTGCAGAACTTCGAGTCTTTGGACCCTTTGGCCACGACGTTCGACCGCATTTGGGAGGCCATGATGAGCCACCCCACCAAGAGCCCGCCCACCCTTTACGACATCTGTGTCGACTCGGGCATCTTCACAGAGGTCGGCCCAGTCCATTCCGGGGATGCATGGCATGGATGGCATGGCGCATGCAGAGAACAAACCTCTCTCTCTCCTTAACATAGCATGCCATCCGTCTGTCTGATTGTACGTATCATGTCATGCAGAGCGATGATTTGGCGTGTCAGCTGGTGGCCTGTCTGCAGAAACTGGTGGACGGGGCGGTGAGGCCGACCGATGGAGGCGAGACGTCTGAGGCGGCGAGCGGTGCGATCAAGCTGGCGCACCAGTTCCTGGACCACAACAAGATCGGCCCCATTGTGTTCATCACGCCCGAGCTCGGCAAGTGGTCGACCGTCGGCGGGCTGGGCGTCATGGTCGATGAGCTGGCAACCACTCTTGCCGAAGTCCTGGGACAGGTACGTGTTGCCTGTAGAGGGCGTGCCATGCGACTCGGAGAGTGCGTGTGTTTGTGTGTGGCCTGGGTGGACTGGATTGGTGCGGTGCAGGAGGTGTGGGTGATATCGCCCTACTACGACCGCAACCGCAAGGGAGAGACCGGCTACCTCCAAAAGTGACCCAGCCAGCCAGCCACCACCAGCACTCGCAGACCAGACGCGCACACGCACACACACACACACACACACAGAGAGAGAGAGAGAGAGATGCCTGTGTGACCTGACCCACACAGGGATGAGATCCCGTGGTCCTTCTCGATGCACGTCCAAGTGGGCCACGACAAGATCGGCTTCGGCGTGTACGAGAAGGTCATCAAGGGCGTCAGGCTGTTCTTCATCCACAACGGGCAGGTCTTCCCGCAACCTTACCCAGACTTCAACGCCGTGGACGGGGTCAAGTTCCTCTCGGCACTCGCAAAGGTCGGTCGGTTCGTGTGTGTGTCCTTCACTCACACACTTCTGAGTACGCACAGACGTGTGTGTGGATGGATGGATGGATGGATGTCAGGCGTCTCTCGAGCTGATGTGTCAAGTGCGCGGCATTCCCAAGATGGTCGTCACAAACGACTGGCCGACCGGACTTGTCCCGGCATATGCTCGAATGGTGACTAACACACACATCAAAACGACACCCATCATCCCCAACCACACACACGCATCTGCGTCTGTCTGTCTGTGTGTGTGTGTATGGTGGTTTCAGGGTCACTTCGGCGACGCCTTCAAGGACACGACCTTCTTCCACATCATCCACAACCTGGACCCCTCGTACGAGGGCCGCATCCACGCCAACAGAGGCGAAGATCTCGCATGGGTCCACTCCCTGCCGGCATGGATACTCGTCGACGAGAACTGGGCTCAATACGTCCTCAACCCTTCTCGGTGAGTGAACCCTGACACATGACATGGCGGATGGCATGGCGGGTGATGGAGGGAAACACTCACTCACTCCCACCCTCACCCACCCACCCACATGCATGGCATGGTGTGTGTGGCGTGTGGTTCCTTCCCTAGGGCTGCGCTGCTCAAGTGCGACAACTGGGGGACGGTGTCGCGGTCCTACCTGGACGACCTCTGCGGCCGTGGGAGCGGCCAGACATCCGCCCTCTGTCCGCTGCTCAACAACTTTCCCACGCCCTTCGCCTTTCCCAACGGCGTGCCCGTCGAGGCGCGCGTGTCGCGGCTGCTCAGGCTGGGTTTCAAGGACCACTGGGAGGCTAAGGGGGCCATCCAGACCAAGTACTTCGGGTTCCAGCAGCCTGACTTGGACATACCTCTCTTCGCATTCATCGGCCGGATCACCTCGCAGAAGGGCGTGCACCTCATTCTAGACGCCGCTGAGAACATCATCAAGAGGCAAGCCAAGCAAACAGGACAAACAGCCCAGACGGAACACGCCTGCAACACGCCCACACTCTTCCCATATCTGCGATCGTGTGTGTGTGTGTGTGTGTGTGTGTGTGTGCAGGTACAACTACCGGATTCAGATATTGGTGGGCGGTATGGCCAACCAGCGTGACCCCTACAGCGGCCGGTGTGCGCAGAAGATGTGGCAGCTCCGCAACCAGTTCCACTTCGCCTTCTGGGCCGACCCCAACGAGTTCTTCTCAGACGGGCCGCTCATCAACATCGGCGCCGACTTCGGCCTCATGCCCTCGGCCTTCGAGCCAGGCGGCATCGTGCAGCACGAGTTCTTCGTCGGGGGGACACCTGTCATCGGTGCGTGGCGGGGAGAGGGAGAGGGAGAAGGTCGCCCGAGTGGGTCCACTCCACTCTCTCTGTGGGTGTGGTGTGTGTTCCTTCCTGTCTGTGCACATACTGTCCAGCGTTCCGGACGGGCGGGTTGAAGGACACGGTGAGCGAGTTCAATATCGAGACGCAGAAGGGCAACGGCTTCACGTTCGAGGCCTACAATGTGGGCGACCTCCTGTACGCCATGGAGAGGGCACTCAGAGTGTTCAGGTGCGCCATGCACACGCTGGCAGACGGGGGCTGGGGGGCTGG